AACAGGTGTGAAATTAAACCTTTGATAAGCAGGCAAGAGGGTCATTATCACAGGATTTTAGAGCTCATTCTTCTTGAACTGTAGCTGCCGCTATGGCTTGCCTTGACACTGTAGCTACATGATAACAGATTTGTAAGGCTTCCTCCTGCAGCTCAATTCATATCTTTACCTATTCTCTAAATAATGGGGACAGACCCATGGCTCACTTCTCAATGATAACTGAGGATAATCCTTCCATTTCTTTTTAATTTGCACTCCTCAATACTGTGCCTGAGGAATTTCTCCTGCTTTGTAATCTCCTACAACGAGAATATGCAGAGGCAAATACATGAAGGAAAGAGGCTTGTTTTCTTAATGTGTTGACTATGCAGATCTAAACAAAGCCTCCCGCCTTTCCTGCCTCAGTTTTTCTAGATTTGGATCAGGTGGAAAGGAAAAGAGGGATGGTCTGGGCAGTACACCTCTTATCCTCACACTGAATGCTCAGGTCTGTGGTCAATGCAGTAGTTAGGGGCATTGAAAGTCTTCTGGAACTCCCACAGCTCAGGGCTTGGGTTCTACGTGTGGAGGAATAAATGGGAAAGAACTCCAAGTACTACTGAGTTCTAAGTAAACTTCCTTTTTAAACAATTTGTTTCGGAGCTGGCTCTGGATAAAAATCATCTTGTTTTAATCACTGTGTCTTATGGCAGCACAGCTCCTGCCCCAGCCACCCTGGGACTGATATCTAAAAAAAAAAAAATATTCCTCTCCTTCCAGGTATGGAACTAACTAAATAACTTCACAACTAGACAATGAATGTGTTTTAATTCATATGTAGCCTGGCAGATGATGTCAGTGCCCTGGACTTGTTGTTATTAATATCTTTTTTAACCTAGTTGCTATAAGAGCAGCTGAGCCAACCCTACCCACACTGATTTCAAAGGGAGAAAAAAAATACCACAGCTCTAGCAGAAGCTAATTGCTTGCAGGCAGCCTTGCTGCAGCAAACTGTCTGTCCTCAGGGTCCTAAGTCCTCCAGGATTTTTGATCAGGATTTTCTATCAGAACAGGGTTTCTCTGATCGTCATATGCATAGAGCCAGCCTCCCCGATGTATAACAAGTGAAAGAGGGATGTGTCTATCTTCCCCTTGCCCTTCTGCAGCCAAGAAATGGTCTTTAAAAATGGTCTGACATCATTAAAAAAAATTAATGTTTCCTCTCCTTCCTGATATGGAACTAACTAAATAATGTCACAGCTATAGAATGAATGTGTTTTAATGCAGATGTAGCCTGGCAGACGATGTCAATGCACTGGATGTGTTAATATTATCTTTTTAAACCAAGCTGCCATAAGAGCAGCGAGCCAGCCTCAGCCGCATTGATTTCAAAGGGAGAGAAGAAAATACCACAGCAGTGTGGAAAGATCTCTTTAACCATGTGGGCAAAGGCAGCTTGTTAATGTTCCTGCCAGGCTATGGCCAGGTAAATGGCTAAGTGGGAATTCAGGATCTGCCAGAACCAAGCGTATTCTCTCATCCCTTCTGTTTTTCATACAGTGGCCACCAAGCAATAGCTAAGCTCCTTTCAAAGAGGCTGCCTTCAGTAGCATGACCAGCTTGTGTAACATGTAGCTTCTTCTCTCTTTTTCGCCCCTGGGAAAACTTGGATGTGTGCTTTTTGTTGCTGTAGTGTCCAGCTGCTTTTATTTCTAAGAGCAAATTCAAAGAAGTGCGCCTTGCACCTGGAGTGGAGAGTGATGAGCTCTGAAGTAGCTGTTAGTGCCTACAGGAGTGAATCTAGTCAATCTGAACTTTTGTGAGTTTGGGCTCGACAGACATGCTCTGGAACACATATCCAACAATTTGCTAGTAATCGTGCTGCTGGCTCAGAAAGACTTTGTAGGTTTTTGGAGCATGGGGAGGAAGATTGGATCTGCAGGTGTTGGGAGTTATATTCAGACTAAACCTTTCTGGGTGTTTCCCACCATGTCTCTTCCTCTTAGCTAGAAGAGTCCAAGCCTGAGGTTTGCCATACTGAGACTGCCTGTGTCAGGGTTCCTTCCCCACTCTGAACTCTAGGGTACAGATGTGGGGACCCGCATGAAAGACCCCCTAAACTTATTCTTACCAGCTTAGGTTAAAAACTTCCCCAAGGTACAAACTTTGCCTTGTCCTTTAACAGTATGCTGCCACCACCAAGCGTTTTAAACAAAGAATAGGGAAAGAGACCACTTGGAGACGTCTTTCCCCAAAATATCCCTCCAAGCCCTACACCCCCTTTCCTGGGGAAGGCTTGACAATAATCCTCACCAATTTGTACAGGTGAACACTGACCCAAACCCTTGGATCTTAAGAACAATGAAAAATCAATCAGGTTCTTAAAAGAAGAATGTTAATTAAAGAAAAGGTAAAAGAATCACCTCTGTAAAATCAGGATGGAAAATACTTTACAGGGTATTCAGATTCAAAACACAGAGGATCCCCCTCTGGGCAAAACCTTAAAGTTACAGAAAACAGGAATAAACCTCCCTCTTAACATAGGGAAAATTCACATAAAACAAAAGAGAAACTAATCCGCCTTGCCTGGCTTACCTATACTGGTTGCAATATTGGAGACTTGGATTAGGATGGGTTGGAGAAGATGGATTTCTGTCTGACCGCTCTCAGGCCCAAGAGAGAACAAACACATAAACAAAGAGCACAAACAAAAGCCTCCCCCCCAAGATTTGAAAGTATCTTGTTCCCTTATTGGTCCTTTGGGTCAGGTGCCAGCCAGGTTGGCTGAGCTTCTTAACCCTTTACTAATAGGTAAATAGGTAATAGGATGTTGCCTCTGGCCAGGAGGGATTTTATAGCACTGTATAGAGAAAGGTGGTTACCCTTCCCTTTATATTTATGACAGCCTGGAAAGAGGTTTAACTTCCAGGCTGGTTGATTCTGCCCTTCATCCTCCTTCATTTTTGTCCTGTTAGTTGGTTTGGCCATGTTAGGAGGTTCTAGTTTGTGTGCAGAATTTGGAGGCAAGTTTTGAAATCAGTTGCATATATTTTCTCCCTGTGATAACTTATTTGATACCCAAGTTATGGTGGCATTTGTCGCTAGGGAATTTGGGTTCTTTCTCCACACCACCCCCATTTTATGGCAGCAAAAGAAGAGGCCCTGATAAGTGGTATCTAAGAGCCAGATCCACAAAGGGGCTTAGGCATTGCAATGCTGAGCATCACAGCACCTAACTTTTAGGCGCACAGGAGGTCACAGGAACAACAGTGCAATGCACAAAGCTGAGTTAGGTGCCCAGGCTCCCTGCACAGTGCATGGGGAGAGACAGATGCCTTCAAATGCAATCCAACAAAGGCCAGCATGCTGGCGAGGAACCACCTAAGCTAGCCCATGGGAGATGCTGATGAGAGGAGTATGTCCAAAGACCCTCCACTCTTTCAGAGATAGCTACCTAAATCCAGGCTGCAGGATCTCTCCACAGCAATCCATGAATGGCAATCATAAGGCTTAGGAACCTAAGGCATTGTGACCCAGGAACTTCTTGATGCCAAACAGCAGAGGGCACAGGAGATGCATATTTTTACAGGGATCCTTTGGGTCAGATATATGCATAATAATTCATTTAAAAGTGGCATGTGAGATCTCTACCAATAGCCTGCTCTGCACAGGCCATTACAATCAATGTGAAATGTTTACACAGAAGATATTTAAGGAGTTATGTATCTGTACTGAAAATTATGTTCTTAAGGTGTGTGAGTTACTGCAGATGCCCAGAAGGCAATAAACATGATTCTGGTCAGACAGGGGGAAGTAGACGCTTATCTCTACGTCTGTCACTATGCATTGTGTGCCTCACAACATAAGTCTATTTGTATACTAAGCCACCAGCTAATCAAGTTTGTTAAACTGACTAGAGATCACAAAATCTACAGGAAGGAACACACAGCAGGAGGGTGTCCTGTTTATGACTAAGATCAAAGGATTAGTCTGATACATCAGGAGAATGCAAGGGGACACAGGGTATTCTTCACTGAGGAGATGAACTGCTAGCATGTTCTGTCTTATGAACCAAGGGCACAGCCAACCTGGCTGGAAAATGCTGGAAAATATCTTTGGGTGAGATAAACTTCATTAGACAAGACAGTATCTTGTTAATTAGGTCTAGGCTCTTATAGAATTGTTATGATTTTATTTTACATGTAACCATTTATTTCCAATACTCTCACTGCTACTTCTTGAATCTCTATTCTTTATTAAATACATTTTTACTTGTTTTCACTATAAACATTTCCAGGCGATGTGTGTTAAACAGAGCAGTGATCTAAAGGGAAACTGGTGTCTACGGCTTCTTTGGGAGCTGCTAATCTGTGCATACTGTGAACATCCAGTGGAACAGGGACTGGACGCTCCAGGAAGATGCTTGGAGGTTGTAGTCGGAGGTTGGAGCCATACTTAAGGGTCAGTAGCTCGGTGCCTATGCACAGTGACATGGTATTAAATTGCATGATCCCATACTATTTCTTAAATAGTAGAGTCACACTTGGTTAGCTGCAGATACTCTTTTATAATGCTTTTATCAGTCTTTTCTCCTGACCACTTTGTCAAAATGGTTCAATATCTCTTATTTAACCTAGACTTTCCATATAACAACCTCTCTGCCCTGCAAGGTTCAGTATATGCTTTGATAGTTTTGTCAGCACCCATGTACTGTACTTTCCCATTTCAACCAGCAGATGGCCTTCCTTAGGTGCAATTGAGGGGCTGAAGCAGTTAGCTAGGAGGCAGATTTAGCCAGCACACATGTGCAGGGCAGTGTTCCTTAAGTATATATAGCATACTATATGTAAAACTCACGATGGACATTTCATGTGACACCCATAGACTCTTTCTGGCAAACTGACAGTAGTACCTGTTGCATTCATGCTAGATGTGTATAGATGAGTCCAAAACCAAATAGTATGATATAGTTTGTTATATTATTATGTGAGCCATTACGGACTGTATCATATATATTCACACAAGGGAGAAGCATTTAGGTTAAACAAGCAACATTAACATAGGTATTTCCTGCATCTTTAATGTCAATGTAGTTTTTTTTCCCCCACTGAATTTTTTTAGGCTTCCTCTGCAGAGTTCATGAAAGTCATTCACAAGCCAAATGTGCAGTGAATGACGCTTGGCACCACAGGGGAACACAAGATGCTTTCCACCAGGTCTTTTATTTGAGGTATAACATGTGATGATGCAATTCAAGACTGTCATGATGCTTATAGACAAAGAGGCAAAGTTAAGGTTGTGTAGAGGTTGTGTAGGTAAACTTGATTTTTAGCATTTCCTGACTTTTGAGTGCTTAATCATGCAACCTTCTTGCTCTCAACATTTTTAAGATAAAGAACCCAAAGACAGCTGATCCATTTTTTGAGTGCAACCTTCTGAAATAAATTCATAGAGAGATCAGCCAGGGAAAATTTTAGCCAAATAGGTGAAAGTTTCAGAGAGATATGAAGGACTTAAAATAGAAGCTTAGAATGGAAACACTCAGGCCACTAAATAGCATTAATTAGCCCAAAGAAATACACATTGCATGTACTGTGCAGTACATATTATATGTATTAAAAGCAGCAGGAATTGTAAAACAGATCTCAAATTTCCCAGCTTCAATTATAGTAACAGACTCCACATTAGACAGTAATAAACCTCCACATTCATATGAGTTTCTTCCATCTTTCTGGTACTGGATGAGTGTATATCCTGTGATTATTCTCTCTCTATTTCTCCCAGCAGTTTCTCAATACAGGCTGACAGATGTATAAGCACAGGGTGAATAACTCATTGCCCTGGAAAAACCCAGTCTTACAGGAAATTCCTATATAACCAAAAAGAGGAACCTCCGGTCATGTAGCTACTTCCTCACTTCTTCCAGCATTCCATTAGAAAATCAGAGATAACAGTGGCTTATATGAAGACGTGGTTTCTGATCAGCTAAACACCCTTCTGCTTTCTGTGTCGGTGAAGGTGATGAGTACTAGCAGAGGACATTCATGCACAAGTTAGTTTATATCCTATACACAAGGTGACAAATGCCAAGAGTATCCCTACACAATGCTGTGGAGGGGTTGATGGGGAGCCGCACCTTCCCAATTCCAGGAGGATAGTGCAACCTGCTCCCCTCTGCACAGCTGGCCTGCTGCTCTGGCCAGTGCTTCAGGTGCAGGGACTGTGATGATTTCTGGCTCCTAAGCAGGGTGCAGAAGCAGGGAAAAGGCTTCTTATGTCTTCCCCCTACACACACACACAAACACAAGCCTGCACCAATGCAGGGGGGATGATCTAGCCCCAGATGAAGAATGACATGGCCTTGTACAAGTAATGTGGCTCTGACAAGCACTGCTAGGCACAAAGAGGAGGTAGCAGTCGTCTTTGTCCCTAGCATCATGCTTTCCAGGGCCAGATACAAGGGGACGCACAGGGAGATGCACTGGTCTGAAAAGCACCCATGGCTCACATGTGCTGCTGATTACAGCATGCATAGCAGCATAGTCCATCTGTCCATTAGTATTTACCCATCACCTTAGCATCTGGGTGCTGCCAGCCAGCATAGCTGGGGGCTGGACACCCCGCCACAACTGGCTGACTTTACTCCATTGACCATGATATAGGAGCTGGTATGCTACCGAGCTGTCTCTTCCAGTGTTCCTAGCTTTACAGAGAGATCCCACCCTGTCACTATCTACTTGCTCTTCTGTCTTCCCCCTGGACAGCAGAGTGTAGAATCTAGCTATCAAAGTTCAGGAGAGTGAGTATGGAAAGACAGAATACAAGATGGAGGAGAAGCTTCAAAGTGACTAGCTGTGCTGACTGCAAACCCTTAATAATACAAGTAATAATATTTATCACTAATGCAGAGCTTTGTACATGCACTAATTAATCTGGGAAGCGGCAAGAGATGCCGTTTGCTACAGGGAGTGTAACAGTGGCAAAATGATTACCTAGAAAGGCACTAATAAAACCCACTCTCACGTTCTCCAACTGACCCTGGCAGCCAAAGCTTCCTCCAGAAGTGACCATGTGCTATGGCACAAACTAGAAAAATGTTTGCATTGTTTTTTATGACTATTGTGTATGACTGTTTCCCTGTTCCATTTGGGATTGTTCCCTGCCTGAATGCACAGAGTTAAATCAAAAGAGGCTGTAAAGGGAGGCTGCTAAAGAACCTAGGAAAGGTAAAACAATGACACAGATAAAACAGACTATCAGGAGCCAGCTCCAAAGGAGTTAAGATAATAGCTGATTCCATCCAGACTACAATGGAGTACCTTTCCCAAGGCCAAGCTTGAGAGCAAAAGGCCCTGGCCGATAAAAAGGTCCCTGGCAGAAAAGAAGGGGGGTTGGGGTGAGCTGAGGATGTGTCAGAGAAAAAATTAACAGTCTGATTGAGACACAGAGGCCAGGCTGCAAACAGTGTAGGCTGGTTCTCCCAGCTCAGCAATAGGGAATAAGACAGAGACCCACCTGCACTATGGATTGAGAGGCTAAGTTTGGTAAGGGACTGGGTGTGTGGGCCTCTTTGTTATTTTAAATCTACTTCCCTAAGACAGTGTACATTTTGTACAAAATAAACCATGCTTTGTTTTGATGACATTGTCTGCATCACTGCAAATATATGCTGTCATGGGCTCCCAAAGAGAGAGCCTGGCAAGGTCTGATCCCAGCTGGACCTGCTGAATTAATCACAGTTGGTACCAGGCAGGCTGCAACCCAGGTCTTGGTCTTAGAATGGGTGAACTATGGTGTTCCACTGCAGGAGAGTTAATGCTCCAGGCTTGGGATCTGTGGGGATTGCCATCAGAGAGACTCTGAGAAGGGACAGCAGTGCAGCTAGCCTGGTAACCGTGACATGCTGCTTTCTTCATCATCTCTCCTTAATTTCCTAAAGAGGAGAAAAAGTTTTAGGGCCAAATCCTCAGGTAGCTTAGCTGTACTGATTTACAACAACTAAGGATCTGGACCTTAATTCCAACATTAATCAGGAAAAAATAAAATTTGCTTATTGGAAAACATTTTTGTTATGAGGGACACAGTAAATCCCAGTTAATGGAAGGCAAGGGAGTATTTGTTTTAAATAGTTTATCTTTTTCTCTTTCAGTGTTCTAGAAGCTTTGAAACAAAATTGCTTTTGCTACTGGTGTTATTTTCCAGTTAGCAACCACCGATAATTTTCCCCTTGGTGTGCTTGCAGTAGAGCCATTGTGAGTGGAAGGAAGGATAGTGGAACATGTAGACTTGCGAGTCAGGATGCCAGGGCTCTATTGTTAGTCCCACCACACACCTGTGGTACTGTGAAGGGGTCAGCTTGCTGCTGATGCCTCTTTATGGCCAGGCATGGCATAGCAGCTCTCCCTCGCCACTGGGATCTCCTGCTGCTGGCTGCTCCACCTCTGTGGTGGCTTGTCTTTTCCCGTGACACGGCCCTCTGGCCACGTCATTTCCAAGTCGGAAGACAGGGGAATTAACACAAATATACAGAGTTAGTATGAGAGAGGGGGACACCTCCCCTTCAGGGTGTTCCAGGATCAGGCCTTCCCTTGCCTCAGGGAGGGACCTTCAAGCAGTTATTTTCAGGGAAGCTCCTGCTTTCCCTCAGCCCTTTCCTCAGGCACTGAGCATTGAAGGTCTGTTCTCTTCCTTGCTTTGCCCACAGGTGAGCTGCTCTGTTCCCTTTAACTACTTCCCTAGTCTGTGCATCTCTTGCAGGTCTGGTAGGGCGGGGTCAGCTGGGCCCAGATCACCTTCTTAACCCCTTGGTGTCCAGTGTGGGGTTTGTGTACCTCATCACAGTGACTTTGAGCAACTCACAAAGGGTATGGCTACACTGCCAAAAAGAAAAATCACCAGCAGCAGCAAGTCTCAGAGCCAGGGTCAACTGATGTGGGCTTGTGCTTGTGCTAGGGGGTAAAAATTAGCAGTGTAGACGTTCCTGCTCAGGCTGGAGCCAAGTTCTGTGAGACCCAGCAAGGGGCCTGGGTCTCAGAGGTCAAACTCCTGTCTGAGGGGCTATTTGTAGCCCCACAGTGTGAGCCCCATGAGCCTGAGTCAGTTGACTCAGGCTCTGAGACACACGGCCATGTTTTTACTTTTTGCGGTATAGACATACCCTGAGGCTCAAATTTTCCAAAGTGTCCAGTTTTTGGGGTGCCTCAATTGCTAGATGCTCATGTTGAGCTAGGATGGGCCAGGGGTTAAGGTGCTACCCTGGGGCCCAGGAGACCCGTGGTCAATTCCCTACTCTGCCCTAGATTTCCTGTGTGACTCTGGGCAAATACGTTAGGCCCAGATCCTCAGAGGTATTTAGGTACCTAATTTCCATTAAGAAAAGGAGTTCTTGTGGCACCTTAGAAACTAACCAATTTGAGCATAAGCTTTCGTGAGCTACAGCTCACTTCATCGGATGCATACTGTGGACTGTTTTTGAAGTGATAAACACCCATTTTTTCACGGTCTGTGTGTATAAAAATATCCTCACTGCATTTTCCACTTTTATGCATCTGATGAAGTGAGCTGTAGCTCACGAAAGCTTATGCTCAAATAAATTGGTTAGTCTCTAAGGTGCCACAAGTACTCCTTTTCTTTTTGCGAATACAGACTAACACGGCTGTTACTCTGAAACCTAAAATAGATAGGACCTAATTTCAGGAGAAGATATATATCCACCAATCTAGCTGAATTCATTGGGAACTCCAGTTACACAACACCTCTGAAAACCAGGTTCTAGGGCTCAGATCCATAAAAGCGTTTAGGCTCCTAATTTCCTTGGAGCCTCAAATTGGACATGTACCCATATTGACACCTGAATAATCTGAACATAATGAGCATGCACTAGTCTCTGTGCATCTTAGTTTCCATATTAGTAAAGATAGATAATGCTACCTTACCTCATTCCTACCTGTAATGTGCTTTCAGATTCCTGGACAGAAGCGGCTTAGTGCTTTTTTTCATCTTCTTACTTGGGCAAGAGCAGCATCAATGATTCTCCCACTAGTCAGTGACTGGAGTTTCTTAAAAAGAAAAGGAGTACTAGTGGCACCTTAGAGACTAACCAATTTATTTGAGCATAAGCTTTTGTGAGCTACAGCTCACTTCATTGGATGCATTCAGTGGAAAATACAGTGAGGAGATTTATATACACACAGAACATGAAAAAATGGGTGTTATCATACACACTGTAAGGAGAGATTTTTAGTTTACTGTGGCTGCAAAAGGAGAAACAAACTTTTTAATTTAATTTAGGACCCACATAAATCATTACAAATGGGGTTTTTTTCTTTCTATTTCTTTGAATGATGAATTGTAAACAAAAGGAATGTAGAAGACTTTCCATGATTAATGTTAAGGAAGGACAGAAATGGAGGAGTTTTATTTACTGTTCCTCATAAGCTGAACATTTTTAATTTCTTAATTTAATAGTAATAATAATACTTAGCTCTTATATAGTGCTTTTCATCAGAAGATCTCAAGCTGTTTTACAAAGTAGCTGGAGGGTAGGGATAGGATACAGAGGGACCTAGACAAATTGGAGGATTGGGCCAAAAGAAATCTGATGAGGTTCAACAAGGACAAGTGCAGAGTCCTGCACTTAGGACAGAAGAATCCCATGGACTGCTACAGACTAGGGACTAAGTGGCTAGGCAGCAGTTCTGCAGAAAAGGACCTAGGGGTTACAGTGGATGAGAAGCTGGATATGAGTCATCAGTGTGCCCTTGTTGCCAAGAAGGCTATGGTCATATCGGGCTGGATTAGTAGGAGCATTACCAGCAGATCGAGGGAAGTGATTATTCCCCTCTATTCAGTACTTGTGAGGCCAGTTCTTGAGTACTGCATCCAGTTTTGGGCCCCCCACTACAGAAAGGATGTGGACAGATTGGAGAGAGTCCAGCAGAGGGAAACGAAAATGATTAATGGGCTGGGGCACATGGTTTATGAGGAGAAGCTGAGGGAACTGGGCTTATTTAGTCTACAGAAGAGGTGAGGGGGATTTGATAGCACTCTTCAACTACCTGAAGGGGGTTTCCAAAGAGGATGGATCTAGACTGTTTTCAGTGATGGCAGATGACAGAACAAGGAGTAATGGTCTGAAGTGCAGTGCGGGAGGTTTAGGTTGGATATTAAGAAAAAGTTTTTCACTAGGCGGGTGGTAAAGCACTGGAATGGGTTACCTAGGGAGGCGGTGGAATCTCCTTCCTTAGAGGTTTTTAAGGTTAGGCTTGACAAAGCCCTGGCTGGGATGATTTAGTTGGGGATTGGTCCCGCTTTGAGCAGGGGGTTGGACTAGATGACCTCCTGAGGTCCCTTCCAACCCTGATATTCTATGATATCATTATCCCCATTTTACAGGTAGGAGGGAAACTGAGGCACAGAGAGAAAGAATTATTTGCCTAGAGTTGTCTATTCTATATAGGCTCTTGTGCCATCTTTACTGCCCTGGTGTCTGAGTGCCTTCCAGTAGTGCATTAAGCAATATAACTAGCATCTGTCCGGTGTGGTTCATTCTCTCTCTCATCTTCTCCACAGGGCTGAATTGTGTGTTCAGTGTAGTGTTTTGTTTTCGTAGGGTTTTATTTTATGGCTCCCTCCCAATCCAAGTGGAGATATTGGTACAGGTAGTGTGGAGAACTTTATATTCATAGGATCTGGTTGGTGTGAGAGAAGGAATAGACTCAGAACCCAAACCTGTCACATTGAAATCAGTGGAGGTTTGGCTTCAAGGATCACACACCTGTTAGGACATCAGCCGATGCAGGTTCCACATTAAAGTTGGACAGACAGAATGAATTAATCAGTGGAGAACTGTGCTTTCTACAGTACACAGTCTAGTCGTGTTTTGGCAAGTCTGCCATATGCCCCAAGCAAAGAGACTTTTACCACTTTCCTTGGGAGCTGGACTATTCCATAGACTAACAGCTCTTATCATCAGGAAGGTTTTCCCAATTTCATTCTAAGTCTTTTAGATAGTCTTCCATGTCCCACCCGACAATTTCTTCTCCCTCCATTTTTCATCCTTCATGTATTTCAAGACTTATCAATGCTCCTTCTGTATCCTCTCTCAACAACAATACTTAGATTTTTCATCAAAAGTCAGTTCCTTCTGGTCCCTTTGCCAATTTTGTTGCTATTTTCTGAACTTCCCTCCCATTTGTCACTACCTCTCTGGTCTTGAGATATTTATTATGTAATGCAATAATCCTGGCGTGGCTGCCCCTTTATCATTGCTATTTATTGTTTACTGAGTGCTTGACAGTGTACGCAGAGCCCGATAGGAACAGAAGAAGACACTATCCCTGCCCCATGGATCTTACTAATGAAATCAAATACAGACAACAAACACAAAGTGACACACAATGTGTTGTACACAATTCATGCATTTCAAGTAATGCTGTTTTTATATCTAATGCAGTAGGTGAGTTAATGTTGATGGGCCTCATGGAAGACGTTAGCTTTAATGGAGATATTCTAAAGTAGAGAGGGTTGATGGGGACTGGTGGGGTGGTGATAACCATTGGGAAGATGCCCTTACAGGTTTTCATTTCTTATATATACATACACTCATTAGGCTGAGAAATGAAAACCACAACCTCCTTTGCTCAGCTCCATAGCTCCAGCTTCTGTATATATATACACACACGCTTTAAAGATGGTTCATAGATTTGGTTTGGATAAGTGGGAAAGTTGAAATATGGACAAATTAATTTTTTTACCCAACTGGTTCTGTCCTACATAGGATCTTACATTGCTCTCCTCATCGTAGCATTTGAATGCCTTTCCAGTAGAGCACGGGGCAGCGCAAATATCATCTTCCACATGGGGTTTGTTCTTCCTCTCATCCTCTCCCCGGGGGGAGAATTGTATGTGTGGTGGAGTGTTTTGTGTTGGTAGGGTTCAGTGTGCCCTCAACTCTCGGGTGCCCCCTTCAGGCCCAGAAATGGTGTTCCGAGGGATCCTTGTCTCCAGCACCTCTGGTCGCTACTTTCTTGACCCTGCAATGGCCATTCCCAACATAAGTCTCTCTCTCTCTCTAGGAGTTCTCTAGTTGAGTCAAATAGACCTTCTGCAGTAATGAAAGGTCCAACTATATCTTAAAACTAATACTCTTTTGCTCCTCGTGGGCCACTCTAAAGTATTCTGCTTTGCCCCCACTGCTGGGCCCTGCACAGTTCCTCCCCTGCTGCTGCTTGTCCAGCAGGGTTTTCCTTCTCCCTCCACCCCCAACTCCCTTACCCAGGGACTCTGTCAGTTTACCTCAGGGATCTTCCTGCCCCTTATGTGCCCTCTCTCATGGTCTCCCCCAAAGGACCCTAACCTGTGCCCTGTGGATCCCTTCCAGCCTGGCTTCCCCAGGCCTTGATCAGAGAGAGAACTCTCCCTGTTATGCTATCCTGGGTCCCTCCTCCTTAATTGAGTTCTGCACTCTGTTTATAGTCTTTTTCCTGACGCTTTCACAGCTGGCCTTATGAATTATCTCACCTTCAGCTCAGGGCAAGGCTGAGCCCAGTTGGCTTTAAATGGCCAGCCAGCCTGTAACCGGTTCTAGATCGGGGTGGGCATACCTTTGGCCCAAGGGCCACATCTGGGTATTGAAATTGTATGGTGGGCCATGAATGCTCACAAAATTAGGGTTGGGGTGCAGGAGGGGGTGAGGGTTTCGGCTGGGGGTCAGGGCTCTGGGGTGGGGCCAGAAATGAGGAATTCAGGGTGTGGGGGGGTGCTCCAGGCTGGGACCGAGGAGTTCAGAGGGCAGGATGGGGGATCAGGGCTGGGGCAGGGGGTTTGGGTGTGGGAGGGGGGGCAGGGGGGCAGGCTCCGGGTGGCGCTTACCTCAAGCAGTTTCCAGAAGCAGCAACATGTCCCCCTCTCTGGCTCCTATGCAGAGGCGTGGCCAGCGGCTCTGCACGCTGCCCTTTCTGCAGTCGCCACCCCTACAGCTCCCACTGGCCACAGTTCCCAGCCAATGGGACCTGCGGGGGCAGCACTTGGGGCGGGGACAGCATGCGGAGCCCCCGGCTGCCCCTATGCATGGGAGCCAGAGGTGGGACATGCCCCTGCTTTCGGGAGCCACACTGAGTGGGGCAAGCCCCTGACCCCGCTCCCTGGCTGGAGCGCCGGATCGGGACAAGCCACGGACCTGCCCCCTGGCAGGAGTTTGAGAGCCAGATTAAAATGCCCGGAGGGCCAGATGTGGCCCCCGGGCCGTAGTTTGTCCACCCCTGTTCTAGATATCCTTAAACTACTTGATATTATCTCTTTCAACTTCCCATTTTCTATTAGTGAATGTATCTTTAAGAAGAATGGGATCTCTGCAGTTGCCATGGAAAATTTTGTGCATCTCATGAGACTGAATCATAGAATATATAGTGTAGTTACAGAAAATATCTGGAACTATGCATGCCTCGAGAGCTGCAGTAATCAGGAGCTTGGAAGCATTTTAAATAGAGATGTCCCAGATGGGAAATGAGATCTTTTTTTTCCATACATAGATAATATGGGCATAATGGATGACACAAAGCTTGGAATTCCTTCCTACTCAGTAGCAGTCAATGGAAAATTGTGAAAGAAAATGGGAAAGTCTGCATGGTACTTTGTCATTCATGCAGAAGAGTGCCAGAGGAAGGGATGAGCAGTTCAGCTCAGGAATGAATAAGGCCTGAACTGAAATCAAAACTTTTAAGTTTTGAATCAACTTCTCCACAATTCCCAACATGGCTGTTGCTTCCTCTGCTTTCATAACCCTCCCTTCCTCCTCCTCCCACAGCAATAACCAGGGCTCTGTATGTTCTGCAGCTGGGGAATATGCTGAATAATCCATCTCATGCCACAAAAGAAAGAAAATTCCTATTCCTTGCAGTCGTAAAGAAAAGCTTAAAATTGTCAACTGAGGCTATGTTTGCAATATGACTACCTCCTGTTGATTTCAATAGGAGTTAGAAATCTAAATACTTTTGAGGATCGGGGCATAATCTTTAAATAAAAAGAATCAAATCCAAGCTGTCTGTGCCTTAATCAGAACAACATGCATGAGAAGTATTGGCCACTTTCACCACTTTACAAAAAAAAACTAAAGGGACACATCTGAGAGCAGGGACAACACAAGAAGAGTTTGGAAAACTGGATGAAATGGTCAGCAAGAAAGAAGCCTATTTCTCAGTTCTTTCTGTGTAAAGTGCAATCAGAGTAGACTTGGCCCTTTGGAGTGCAGAAACGTGACATACACCTTTGAAGGAACATGTTCCATCATTCTCTTCCTCAAGCACACTTTTTCATAGTGGGAAATAAGAGAAAATAACTCAATCTCATCTGAATACACATTAAGCCAAAAGGGTGTCATTCAGAAACCACATCTAACAGCAGGTGCTGCCTCTGATAAGCACAATGCTGGGATTGAAATTTATTCTACGGTTTTACATTTGGTTTAGAAATTGAATAATCCCAGTGCAATTCGTCCTGGCAACAGTGAAGTCCAAAATAAACCAGGCGGGAGAATGCAAGGCAGAGTTCTACAAGGTTATGCAGTGCCCAGTGTGTCCTTGACAGTTTTTAAGTGTCAGCTTCCTTGCCTGACTACTGCAGTACATGATTATCAGAGACTCACTGTGGTGAATGAAAATTTGAGACCTAATTGTCCTGGTACTCACACTGGTGTAAATCAGGAAGAAACTCCAGTGTAGTCATTAGAGTTACACTGATGTAAAACCAGTATGAGCGAGAGGAGAATCAAATGAGCACCCCTGCCTGCCTCATCAGCACCACCTCTGAGGAAACTTTACATCCAGATCCCAACTTTCTACCTCAATCCAATCTCTTAATTCCACTCTCATAAAAAAGTCCAGGTTGTGCTTGGGGGCAAAATACGAAATACGCTGTGAGCATTACAGTGATAAGTACCCTGGGTATTCTGCAGTTACGTGGCCATGGGCTATACCACAGAATCCACCCTTCTCAGAGAACTGGGCTTCATAACCTAAACTTTAATTTTTAAAGGAATTAAATTTCTAGCATATGCGGTTGAGAAAAAAACGTTTCAAATGTGAACCAATCCAGAGCTATCAGATTACTTGCATTGATATCTTGATTCTGAAACCTAATGATGCCATTGTAAATGTCAACATTATTAACTATATCTATGATGGACCAATGGAAACATCATGATAATGCATAGCTCCCACAAACCCAAACTGCTTCTCGCATCTTCCAGCTACCAAAAGCCTCAGTTATCCCTTATCCTGCTACCAAAATCTCCAGCTTCCCTCATTACAGTTTCTGCAATGCAGTTATGTGGTTTCAATACAAAATTTTACAGCACATTGAAAATGAAAAGTGAAACATTTTGGGCAGCCTAAAATAACCGTATTTTAAATAAGACAAGAAATACTGTACTGATTGCATTCTTTTTAATATATAATTCAACAAAACCTGCACCGTTTTAAAGGATATGAAGTGACTACAGACGTTCTACTCTGCTGCATAGGAGTACCACAGAATCCAGGTGCCTTGCCATAGAATTTAGGTCAAGCTCATTATAGTCTATCCAGGGCCTTGATTATTATTTATTGGTTACAGCAGTATCATAGGTGTGCATGGCATATGTGATAAATGAAGAGGGTGTGGGAGGGTAGCTCCCTTTTATGAACACCCAGCCAGCCAGTTAGCTATAAAGTCCCTCTTGGTGGCTGTTTTCTTCTTGCTTTACCTGTAAAGGGTTAAAAAGTCCCCCAAGTAAAGAAAAGGGAGTGGGCACCTGACCAAAAGAGCCAATGGGAAGTCTAGAACTTTTTAAAATGGGGAAAAAACTTTCCCTTTGTGTCTGTTGCTCTTCTCCAGAGAGAGGGGACAGAACAGGACAGGGCTGCAGTATTGCTGTAAAAAGCTTTAAAACTAGGTATGAAAAAGCATCAAATCATATCTCAACCCTACTTATCTGAAACCCCAAATATGTAAGTAATCAGGGAATGTCTAAGAAGACGCGCTTAGGGTTATTTCTTTTATTTCTTATTGGCTTGTGGACTCCTCTGGGCTAACCCCAGATGTTTTTGTTTTGCTTGTAACCTTTAAGTTGAACCCTCAAGAAAGCTATTTTGGGTGCTTAATTTTTAGAATTGCTCTTTTAAAACCTAGCAAAAGCCTAAATTCCAGATGTATTTTCTTTCTTTTTGTTTTAATAAAATTTACCTTTTTTAAGAACTGGATTGGATTTTTGATGTCCTAAGAGGTTTGTGCACATGGTGTTTCATTAGCTGGTGGCAACAGCTGATTTTCTTTGTTTTTCTTTTTCAGTTCTTCCCGGGGGGGGGCGGGGGGCTGAAAGGGCTTGAGGGTACCCCACAGGAAAGAATTCCCAAGTGCACCTTTCTGGTTCAAAAAGGGGTTTTGCATCTGAGTGGTGGCAGCGTTTACCAAACCAAGGTCAGAGAAAAGCTGTAACCTTGGGAGTTTAATACAGGCATGGAGTGGCAAGTATTAATTTTTAAAATCTTTGCGGGCCCCACTTCTGCACTTGAAGTGCCAGAGTAGGGAATCAGCCTTGACAGCATATTACAGGCATAATGAGGCAAGGTGCCTTCTCTGAAGAGCTAATTTAGGCTGAATAGAGGAGAGGAGAGAATGAAGGAAGGTTTCAACAGTAAAAGGTCATGTGATTTGTATTATATACAGCCTGATAGGGGGTTGAGGGTTTTGTTTGCTTTAAATCTGGTTTATTTTTTAATTTATTTTTACAGAGAATATGTTGTCCTACACCAAGCTTTATATTTCATCTCAAAACACATAATCAAAGAAGTCCTTAAGGTAGCACTGAGCCTGTAAGAGGCCAACACCCAGAAGAAGAGCCACTGGCTCCAACTGAACCCAGACACAACTTTAAGTGATGCTGTTGGAAAAGGAAAAACAAAAGTGGTGCTCACTTCCCCAGTCAAAGACATCTGCCCTCCACCTAATTGTCATCAATTAGGACGAAGTCTTGAGGTCTTACTGAGCTCATCTCTAAACTCGCATCCCCAGGTAGCAGCAGTTTTAAGAAGTGATTTCTTCCATCTCAGCTTAACAGGAAACTGCACAACTTCCTCTTGCATGGGCATCTTGTCACAGTATTACATGGTTTCATTGCCTCCAGACTGTACTACTGTGACTCATTTCATCTGGGGCTGAAGGTGAAGACAACACAGAAATTCAGCCTGGTGCAGAACACAGCATCCAGAAAAAATATCAAGAGTTTATCACACAAGAACTTCATACCCTCCACTGGCTTCCAGGTCACTTCAGGTGGCAACTCAAGGACCAGCTCTTCATCTTTAAGGACTTGTTATATCTGAGTTAGCCTCTCCAGCCATGACTCATCCAGATGGTTCTGTTGGCTGATCCCTCAAGAACAAGAGATAAAGAATTTTCCCAATCAAAGTTTCCTCTTGCCTTTAGACCCACCTAGAGGAAGAGAGAAGGGTATGCGCTTGCAAGCATGATCATTTTTAAGCAGGCGGCCCATGACTCACCCTTTTGCAAAAATTTTCCCACAATAGTGGAAGAAAACCTCAAAAACACAGTAAGCAATGCTGATGAATATGGGGAGGCAAACAGCAGTGTTCACTGTGGAATTCTCTTTGTATATGTCACAGTCACTGATGCTATTGTCAGAAAGGCCAAGTAAATACCTAACGCAAACAGGCAGAGGCTAGTAGTTACTGGTGCTTGATGAAAAGTGTGTCTTGAGGGAAGATTTGTAAGGAGATATTGAGTGTGGTTAGCACACAGGAAGAGGGTGTTAATAAAGGGAACTGTAAGTGGCGTTTATGAAGAACCACATCTTGTCTGTGGTAATGACTTCAACAGAATCAGGATCTGGCCTAAAGTAGATTGGGTAATAAATCCAGAATCATAACATTTGCCGCACACTGATCAACTCCTGGTCGATCTAATCCATGATCCAGTCTCTGGTGAGACTGCTGCATAACACTTCATAGAATCAAAAATGTTCATTTAAACAACTGTTTTGACAAAATGTGGTCTTTGCTTATGTTTAAATTGGAATTTTGCCAAAAATACTTCGATTTTTCTCAAAAGTTTCCAGTTTTCTACAATCCTTTTTCCATCTTTTATTTATGTTTTTTTCTTCTGTTTATCATTTCTTGCTTTTGTTTTTGGATGACAGGAGTCTATTGCCAATTTTGATTGGTCGATGTAGTCCTAACACGGTAGAATTTTTTTTTTCAAAATTGAAAACAAAAATAAATGAATTGAAAAAATGCCATGGAAAAATAGGGGTGAGGTGGGAGAACAGTCCATTTAGAAAATCAGCAAATCTCACCATTGCTGTGCCTTAAGTAACATTTATTTTTCGACCAGCTCTCCTAGGAAGATGAAAAAGTCAGTGTCCCTAACTACTTATGCAAAGCTGGATATCTGGCAGAGGAGTTCTCTCATCTCATGACCTGAATTACTAAGGGCTTAAATCTCAGCTTCCCCTATGCAGATGAGGGAAGAAAGGTGCCTCTCCCTCCACCCTACAAGGACTCCAAATAAAGGCTAAGCAAAATTGCAGTTACTGCTCCCCAATTACATCCCCAGGCCTACCTAGGCCCCCAAATGGGGTGGAGAGAAGGAAGAGTCATGGCTGCATGGGGGTCTCGTGGAGTATGTTGTACCTGATCCCTTCAGGGAGGTTAGTGTTGTGTGCACGCTCCAGAAAGCTGCAGAAAACTTTCTGGATCATAGACAGTCAAACTATAGGCCAGTCACTTACCCTTTCTGTGTCTCATTTCCCACTGTGCAATAGGGATAGTGACATGACCTAGCACTCTGGAATGCTGTAGCTTTAATTCATTAGTATCTATAAAGCACTCAGAGATCATCTCCTGGATGGGGCTCTAGAAATGCCAAGGAATATTGTATATCACTTTTAGCTACACTCCTACTTTGAAAGTTTCCCCACAGAATCCACTGATTCAACTATTTCAAATTCTGAATTATCTAACTTGGCAAATTGGAATCGGCTTTTCAGAACGTTCTGAGAAGCAAAAATGTGCTCTGTGTCAGTACCAGGAAACACGGAGCAGTATTATAGTCAATCTGTATGCTGAATGAGTCAGCCACAGTTTATGCACCTGCTGTGACTTACAAATCTGAATGCACTTGGAGATGCTGGTTTTGCAAACAGATGGATTTTGTAAATCCTGTTACACACAGAAATGTTAAGAGCTTCACAACAGAAAAGGAGCATGTCCATGTAAGTATCAGATCCACTTACCCTTACAAATTTTAAAATTGTGCTTCATTTTACTGGGGCAGAAGATATAAATAGCATCATCTTAGGCAAGTCACTCTGGTTGCATTTCTGAGAATGGTGACTCTCAAGAAATTTAAATTAGTTGATTTCTGCATTTAGCTACAAGAAATAATCAGGAGGCTAGGATGAGTGATGTGTACCTCTAATGATACATCAGTTATAAAGGATTCCGTTTGACCATAATCTAACAAAAGAACCAGTTCTGAGAAAACATAGGGTCTGCATGTGTAAACTGCTTGCTGTGCATTCTCTCAATCACAGGGCTTTGTTTCCAAAAAGTTACTGGAATGTGTTGTTTCCACAATGTTTAAGCAGCTCAGGGAGAGAAAAAATTGCATAACGTATTTTGTACATGAGCTTCACTTTTTTACATGCATTGAACTCCGTTTGCTTTGTGCATAAACAGAATCTGCTACTGGGGCACAGAACAGGGATATGAAAATAAACAAGGAGCAGAGCTAGATTTTATTTATTTTTTTTACTAAAGGTGGCCGTGGGGACAGGGGAGCTAGCAACTGGTATTGTGGAAAGACAAATCCCAAATAGAATACATAAAAAATTCAGAGGGGCAGAAATATCGTAGAGTGTGTATCAGCAATTCACATACAACATTGCTGGAACACTTCCATTTATCAACACAGGGAGATGGCTGTAATCGCAGCGTACTTGGCTCTGACAGTGATTACACAGACTGTATGTGCTGACTATCTTAAATCAACACCAGACACAAAATACGACCTGGCAGGGTTGCACTTTAAGGAGAGAAGAGTACTCTAGTGATCTGTGCACAGGACTTACAGCATGGACCCCTAGCCTTCTAATCATGGCTCTCAAATGAGTACTTCTGTGGCATCAGGCAAGATGCTTAACCTCTCAGGGCTAGATTATGTCGGGCCCCCATTTAGGACAGTGGGTTTGGGAATTTGTAAGGAAACGTACCATGGGTTGTACCCTCATGAAGGGGATAGCCACTACCTCAGTCCTTCCTCTGATGCACACTAGGCTAATACTGAGCGGCACTAACCATCCCAATAGGAGAGAGGGGGAGAGAGAGCCATGACCCCATCTCCCTCCTACAGCCCAGCCAACAAATCTGACTGGCTGCAGAGGAGATTAGCAGTGACTGCACCCCGCCTTTTGCTCTTTGGGAAACAACATCCCTAATGGGAGATAGTGGCTGAATGGCAGAAATGAGTGAGCCCTTACTTCCCCTCCTGTAAGGTGGGTATGAGACCTATATACTTCCCACCGGTGTCGGGAGAATCAGTTCGTTAATGCTTGAAAAGGGCTACATATTATACACCCTAGCTATTGTTATTAGAAGTGTATTATGTTAAATATCATTAAAGCAGTTAAAATATCATTATTGCTAATGGGATTTATCTGGGTAGATCTCCCATGTGGTATTCTCTTAGAAAAAGAAGTGATCAACTTTTTAGCTTACGTCGCCAAAGATAAACGTGTCCACTCCTGTATTACTAACGACACAGCTGGTAGCCGTGTAGTACTGGTAAGGGAAGTTGAACAAATGTCTAGCATGAGTGAACACAGTTTTAACTTGAGTACTGTGGTTGTTTTCATGATCCCCCTCACAACTAGTAAGACAAGTATTTTGTTGCCAACCAGTCCTCTAAAAAGTAGTAATTGTTCAATTAGCACTTAGGGTCTGGAGCTCATTTCTTCTTCCTCCCAATCATTAACAGCATGTTGTTCTGCTAAGATCGTATTGATAATTTCGGAATGTACATGCAAGTGGGAGTGAGGAAAGAGCATCGGATCCAGGCATTCATTTATATCCCACACCTAAGGCAAAATGGACCTGTCAAAAATCTGTCACACAGAAACTTTCCTTCTGAATGGGGCAGAGAACAGGGACTCCGGTAACAAATGGAAGGGGCTGGGCCAGAACTGGTGTCCATTTTCCTAGGAGACACAGGGCTTTAGAGACTGGAAATGCCTGACAAGGAAGCTGGGGCCTTGAGCCTTGCAGCTGAGTCTCTGGGAAATAATTCTATCAAAGCAGCATATAGTACCATGTGCAACTGCTGCAGACACGTAGCAAACATTCTGCTTACTGCACTATACTAAACTTCCACTCTAGGAGCCAAAGGTTAGTCTCATGGATAAAGCCTAAGTAGGTGGTTTTTGAGCATGGGACCTCTAGAGATATTGGGATCGAAGAAATTCTCCCTCCCACCACCACCCCAATCCAGATGTGGAAGGCATGGAACACTACTGCAGCCCACTAAACATATGTTTTGGCCAGTGGATTCATGGAATTGAGGATCCATTGGCAAAACCTCCACCCCTTCCATGGTTCAGACAGCCCCCAGTTCTCTTTCCACAGCACCTCACAGGGTGCTATTGCAGAGCAATGCTGCACTGTGTGCAGAGGGGTCGAAGTCCTTCTGCATGGTTTTACTGCAGTCAAGGCCCCATAAGCACAGCAGAACCAATTCCGTTTCACTGCCTTTGAGGACTTCTTCAGCATTTCCCTGGGACAGAAGATTTTTCTCTTAGCCACCATCAGTCTAAGTTTCTGGTGTTGCAGACACTATGGCTAGGGATTTTCAAATGTGCCCAAGGGCATTAGATGTCCAGCTCTCATTGAATTTTGGAGTTGGCCTAACTCCTTTAGTCAACTTTGAAGATCTCAGCCTGTAACAATATAGGCTTCCCTCATCCCACATGTATCACATCGCCGACATTCCAAAGCACAGTGTGAATTAGTCTGCACAAGCTAACATACTTTACAGTCAGCCCATAGCAACAGATGTGCCCACTGCACTATACATGCAGGCTTTGTGCCAGGACCATTGCAGAGGGCATCCTCTTTCTTTATGGTTCTTGTTCTGTAGATAAAACAAATTAAAATTTGAATATTTATTCACCTGGCACTCAACAGGATCAAATGACTTTCGATATATTGACAGTCAGCCTCCATCTGTTACTAATGATCCCAATTACTGTTATCATCTACATATCCCGATCAACTAATATGCTCTGAGTCACTGTTTTCTTTTTCTTATATCACATCCCTACTGCGCTACATTGAATATGTCTAACCAGAAAGCAATGCTTTGTTACTAGGCAGATCATCTCACTGTGATGCCAGCTATATAAGAATCAGGAGTGGACTCAGTGCTTTGGTTTTGTAGACTAGTGAAGATCGGGAGCACTATGGAGGTGGCAAGATTGGAAGGGAAAGAGCCTTTTCGTTAACTGATCCGTGGAATAGCACTTGCTGCTCTCCTGGGCTTACAGAGGCTCCTGCAGCCATGTTGCTACGTGGAATGAATGACATAGGGATGACATGGAGAGAGGAGACAAGTCCCCCTATTATAGCAACAGGCAGTTGCATTGACTTGGATGTAAAGCTGTGGCCTGAATTAAGGAGTTTGAATGTCGAGTCAGAGCCAAAGCAGAACTTTCTCAGAGTTCAGGCCTCTTCAAATTTGGGATTTCTCCTTGACCCCATTATAGGTTTGGGTCTAAGATGGAAAATTCCAGTCTGGACCAGAATTCCCCCTATATTTAAGGGTGTGGATATTGCTTGGATATTATGTGCTACTTACGGCCCGTCTCCACTTGGCAGGTGGTGAGCTGAGACTGCTGCTTATTGGGCAAAAGATGCATATTTTACTGTTAACTACTTCCCCCACACACACCCTGTTGGCTTGTATCATCCACCTGTTGCATCTTGTCATTATCTTGATTGCAATTTTATTGGTGCAGGGCCTGTCTTTTTACTATATTTTTGAACAGTATTTAGCAAAGTGGGGCCCTGATCTCGCATTGAGGGCCCAGCACATTACTATAATGACAGGTTTCATAATGATTGATAGGAATACTTGGTGGAGGAAGGAACTGGGTAGACTCCAGAAAACAGGAAGTCAATTTTTTAAAGAATTATCCTATCAGAATCATTTTATTTCTGATCATTTATCTCCTATTGCCACTGTTCTTCTGTTTAGATGCATTGGAAGGGGTGCTGGTGCGTGGGCCTTGGAGCCAATTAGTGACAGTGTGATACACCATTGAATTATCTTTATCTAAAGCATCTCGATTCTTTCTTATGCTGATTGCTCAGTAAGACCCTGATGTAAAGCCCAATCAAGTCAACAGAGAGACTCCCACTGACTTCAGTAAGCTTGGGATCGGGTCCTCATTAGTTAGATCATACAACCCTTCCGTTAGTGAGTGCTTACACACAGAAATAGCCACCTTTAAATTAATGGGACAATATGTGTGATAAAGTGTGTACCTAAAAGAGTAATGCTTGTACAATTCAGCCCTAAATGACTTAAGTAAGATTTTTTTTAATTGCCATAGATACAGTATATTAAAATTAAACGAGCAAATGTTGATTCCTAAATTGTGCATGTAAAAAAAAAGTCATAATGGCCCCAATCCAGCAAAGCACTTAAGCACATGCTTAACTTTAAGCATATGAGAAGTCCCATTCTCTTGCTTAAAGTCAAGTACATGACTGAGCACTTTTCCGGATCAGGGCCTATATGTGCAAATAAGCAGTGACACCTGCAGCCGTATACGTTGTAGGCACAGGTTTCAGAGTAACAGCCGTGTTAGTCTGTATTCGCAAAAAGAAAAGGAGTACTTGTGGCACCTTAGAGACTAACCAATTTATTTGAGCATGAGCTTTCGTGAGCTACAGCTCACTTCATCAGATGCATACCATGGAAACTGTAGCAGACTTTATATATACACAGAGAATATGAAACAATACCTCCTCCCACCCCACTGTCCTGCTGGTAATAGCTTATCTAAAGTGATCATCAGGTGGGCCATTTCCAGCACAAATCCAGGTTTTCTCACCCTCCACCCCCCCACACAAATTCACTCTCCTGCTGGTGCTAGCCCATCCAAAGTTGTAGGCACAGTTATCTGCTTGTGCTCTTGCACGCATATTTTGCACTCAC